ATTATTACCTCTTGTTACACAATGAAATGGTGATTACAAACTAGCGTAACTTTGATAACTTACGTATCGGAGGCGTATTGGAGAGTGCGAATGTGACACTTACCTGTAACAAAAAAATGCATATTGTTAGTTCATTGAATAATAATTAAATTATAACATCAAACGTGATATCTTAATTAATGATGTATTAAACATGTTAAGTAATCGCATTGTTATTTAAGCAATGGCTATAAAAAACAATTTTATTTTTCATTAAAAATTCATAGAATCTGAAAGAATCTTATAGAATCTAGGTCATTATTATGAAATCGTTTCAGCATTTTTAGATGTTTGCAGTGACGGCTGGCGGACAGTTGTACGGCATTCACATATAAGAATGACAGTTTCTAAACACATTCGAACTGACGGAAAGCTTTATAAAATTTGATGAGCACTAAAATCCCCAAGATTCGTATCCACGAGCTCCACACTTCCTTCGAGCGAAGGAACATAGGCCGTAAAGAGGAACCGTGAAATATCAATGCGTGATACTAGCTCGGAAAACGCTTTCGCGAACTGATACGACCGCGAAGAACAATCGAGCGTGAGGAACGATATTAGCAATAAAGAGGCGTAAACACAGCTCGCGGAGTCTCTCCCTCCGTGGTGTTTATGAGCGTTGCGGTATCGAATCGAGCTCGATAATAAAAAGAATCTCGTATAACGCCGGAAAATAACGGATGAAGTCTCGCGGTGAAGCAAACTCGCGATTCTAAGCGCATAAACTGATTCAATTCTACTTTAAATGTGGATGGTTTCTCGCCGGAAACTTCGTACATTTATAAGCTTCCGCGAATGCTTTGCGTTGTAAAAAAAAAAATATAAATATATCGTATCTGATACATATCGACGAGCGTATACACCACAAAGTAGATCTTCCGATTGGAGCTCTATCGGATTAGAGCGTACGCTTAGTGTGCGTGCCGGATATATTGAGTATCAGGGAGTACAGTGTTGCGAGCTCTCCGGTAAGCAGCACCTATAAAGGCAGAACCATAACGGAGTATAATTCAGCCCGGTTCTAGTATCTATAGCTCCTACTCCATTCTCCGGTACTACACGCTCCCTGTCGCAACGCACTAGCGTAATGCATTATGTCTGACTAGGGTATCCTTTGTATAAGCTACCATTAGAGTTAATATTCACTTTTTTTTCGTACATTTCAGGGCGTTCATGTATCAAACGACTGTCGTCATCAATTATATCTTATGTCATTGCGTCATTTGACATTTTGAAATTTACCCATGCAACATTTATTTCAATCTACTTGAAACTATTCAGGCGAACTCGAAAACATTCGAGTTAATCTAGATACCATCATAGATAAGTTTTATTATGAAACATAGCTAAAAAAAACTTTGATTAAATATTTTCAATCACCAAAATGACACATTTGTTTTAAAAATTTATATAAAAACACTTTGACGGCGTAACACCACGGAACATATTTCAGCAAATGCGCATTTCACGTCTCGCCCTCTTTCTCTCCCGTACTGAAGAAACAATGGTAGCGGGCTTCATTTATCTTGCTCGGAATCGCATTGCATCTCGACAAATGCAACACCGCTGGGAGAATGCACCGCTGGATAAACTTTCGAAGGTATAACGCCGCGCAGGGACACAAACGCCGGACGGGGAGTTTTATACGCGCGATCAAAAAAGCTGCCGGCGACCGTCGAGGAAAGCGAGGAAATTGAGGAAATCGAAAATTCACCGATGGTCGAAGGCCGTTGCCGCACACAGAGGTGTTGCATGGATGCAGCGCGCGTAATTTCGCGGAGAATATAAATCGGAGTGTTGCGCATAAATGCGTGTTATGCGCATCGGTTCTTATGAGACTTTTCAGATATTCAGGACACATAAATAGGAAATAAAAAATGGTGCGATTTAACGATAAAAAAGCGATAAGAAAAATGCCATGCAATTGCCGTGCAGTTTAGGCGAAGGTTTTTAAAAGCTATTCTACAATATGCGACAATCGGTAGAATCTTTACTCAATGTGCGTAAAGGTATACGTGTATACGCGTTGTACACCGCCACCGTCCTTTCAACGTAAATCTTTCCTTCCCTCGCGTCAATCGCGGGACGCAGGACGGAAATTACGGGACGCCGTTGCACGCAGCGCGCCAAGTCGATAGGTATTTCCACGTCGGCGAAAAATACGTTACAAATCCAACTTTAACCTGCTCGGGATTCCGGTCACGTAGCCTCGTCCAAAGATATATATCGTATATCGTGCGGCGCGTCGGTCCTTCTTCACGTACCCCACTTTCCAACCTCATTCCACATTCTTTGGTCCGCCCTCGAAGCTAATGTCACACGCTCGCTGAAAACTTATACGAAACCCTCTCTATCGGGTTAAACCACATTTAATGAATTTACCGGCGAGGAGTATTATTGACAAATATCTTCACTAGACACTAGATTACATCGCAATACGTGATATTTTCGGAAATAATACACTCTCTTTTTTTCATTACATCGTAATAAATTATTATAATGTCGAGTAAAAAAAAACACGTAAAGAAGAAATAATTTGCTTGCTTTTCATAAATGCTATTTAAAGATTAACGCGCTAAGAGTTATATGATATTGTAAAAAGAATCAGATAACACGCTTGTATAGCGTATTGACGTATGTAACATATATTCTATATGTTAGTGCAGTAACTTTGTGAGTTTCACGAACCAATGGTGTCATCTTTCTGTTACTTTGTGCGTGATATCTGCGCGTGAAAAATTTTATTTGTTGGAAATGGCGTAGCGTGGCGTTTACTTTGGTAATAAATATACCTTTTGGTCGAAATGGTGGTGAAAAAGGTCTTTGAAATCTAATTCCTGTATATACAAAGCTCACTGTCACTAACCAAATATACTACAGTGAACATAAAATGCGACAATCCAAAATCAAATATTTTGGAAACTAATACAAGTGTGCGAGATGTTATGCGAAATAGGATTTCGCGAATCATTTCGCGATATTATTTAATATTATTCAAAGCAAGTGTAATTATATGGTACAAATTTGCTCTTTACGTTTGCAATTGTGCAGCTTATGGAGAATACAAATTTTGTTTGTTGAAAACATCCTTATATAATGAATATGACAAAAATAATCAATTTTTGCTGGTTTTTAAAAATAAAATAAATAGAACAGTTGTCGATAAATCTACAGTAATTATCGTAATAATTAAAAAAATCTTTTTGCAGTCATAGATGATTGCGCGACTGTCAACTGTACAATGTTAAAGTTATGCTGAAAGAATTAATTTTTTGTGAAAACTATTCTCATACAATGTAAGAATATATTGGATTTAATAAGTTGATCTTTTAAATTATTTATAAAATGTCAATTAATTTTGTAATTTGTAATTTTTATAATATAATTCAATTTTTTGCACGAACGGCTCTTTTTGCCTTTTTCTTCCAAGATTATTTGTTAATTTATTGGAGCCTAGTATTATTATTAATTTTCAATTAATTTTAATCTCTTTATCAAATAAAATATTAAATTTGTAATTCATTATAATACTATACGAAACACTACGCGTTCACAATGCGTTAATTTGTCGAGGAAGACATGGTTTTATACTGAAAACTATGGCACCCGTATTCGGAGAACTTAATAAGTACGTGAATATGCACGAGAAGGATTCTCGCACCCATGAAATTCGTTATTAATATATTCAAAACAGATATTGAACAAACGAATTCTACGGTATGCAAATGTATTCCAAAGAGCGACGGTACATTTTCCATTTGCAAAAGAACCGCGATAGATGACCTAGATACTCGCGTTCTACCTATCTATCATTTTGCTCTATTGTGGTTTCGTTTACTTATTCATTGATCTGCTTAGTTAAGTGGCTTCAATAAAAGTTGATTGAAAATTAAATATTTTAACTGTTTTGTGGAAGACTAGCAATGAATAGCATAATTGATTGCAACATATTTGTTATTTGTTTCGATTTATATCATTGTGTATTATTATATATGTATATATACGTATACTTTAACGTCTTTAATGAGTTACACATATAAATTATATTAAAATATGTTATTTTATTAGATTTGATATGGGTAGAGAGAATATATAGATGTCAACAGCTTAGAGCTGGGCAAATATTATTTTATGAATTATAAATAAACAAAAGGAGTTTTATTTTCGTCGATACTATATTCTAATGAATAAGTAGATGTTTCTCAATAAACATCTTGTCCGCGGAAGTAAACTTTGTAAAGCGAGCCGGGAAGAAATTCGAGAAGGCAAACGTAACCGTCCCGTTTCTCTAAACTCTCTCCATTACTACTACTATCGTGTTTCCGAAGTGATCCACGCTTTGCGTCCACGTGTCTCTTTAACTCTCATTGACGGACAGAGTCAGTCAATTAGCCTATCGACGCCTATCTCCCAGTCTCCCTATTTACTCCAAAATTTCAGGCGCGCTACAAAATGCATCGAGGCTGAATCCTCGCGAATCCGCACCTACTTATTCGTTAACATAACCGGCGACGTTTGGGGCATATCAAATTTCGTCCTTTAGACAGTCGCGCTTAGTAATATATCCTTAAGCTCGCGATTACCGGCTTCGGGAGTCTCGTTCACGACGGCGGCAACAGGTTACCAGCACGCGCCGCTCGCCGACTCGTTGGTTGAGTCGACCACGGCCGTATCGCACTCTGTGTGCGTGTGCTGCGCGCTCGATCGTCGCATGTCCCTCTTTCACTCGTTCTCACTCTCTCCTTCTTTCTCTCCCTATCTCTCTATTTCTCTCGCTCTGTGCCGCTCTTCCTCACTCTCTCTCTTTCTCTCTCTATTTCTCTCTCGCTCTCACTTTCACTCTTTCTCTCCGCCATTCCAACCGCACGCAACCCTATCGCGGAATCTCTCACGGCGCCACACATCGCGTTATCACGCGCGCGATCTCGCAACACGACGCTAGTATAATATTGTGGCCTGACCTATGATCCATAGACAGTTCTCCGAATAGAGCGTTGCGCCAAAATCCGCTGCGATGCTGCGAACCAGCGGCTCAATCGTTGATACTGCGTCGCCCGGAGCGTCCTGCGTCGCAACCCTCGCTGTCACAGGCACGTGTTAGCGACGATGTCGGTAGCGCGAACCGCTATGCTGCCTCCCTAAGTGTCACCGATGAGCGCCCGCGCACCTGCGCGCGTGCCGTACGCATACGCGTAGCGCGTATCGTCCGCCCTCGCTGCCCGTCCGTCCGGTCCTGTTCTCGGGATTCTCGGAGATGTATGAACAACGCACGCTGCGCGACCGGCAGCCGGACGCAATTTAGCCGTCCGTTCCTTCAAACCTCCGTCTAACCTCCCTTCAACACGTCGTTGATCTCTCTGTCTCTGTCCCTCTGTGATTTCGCTGTCGGTCAACGTGAAATATACAATCGGACAGGCGGCACCCTAAGGGTCGCCACGCGTTCGAAGCGTTCGCGCGGAGATTGCGCTTCGCCGATGATTTTACGATACGAGAATTCGCGCGACCAGGCTTCTCTCGCTCGCAGAGACTTTTAAAACGCGATGCAGAGAAACACACGCAGCGCGCGACGTGGCGTAGCGTGGCGGCGAGTCGGATGGCTGACTGGCGGAGATCCGACGACTCTCGGTCGGTCTCGGCTCTCGGTCGTGGCCGTGGGGATCGCTGCTGGTTGGTAACGTGCGCGGGAGGGTGCTCGGCGGAGGGCGAGGGGTCCTACGGGGGGTTGGTTGCTGGAAACACGGTGGTAGGGCGGGCGGCGGCGGCGGCGGCGATGGTGAACGGGGGGATTTCGTACGACCGCCGAGCGAGTGAGAGGGATGAGAACGGCGGTGCGAGGGAGACCGCGCGCGCTCGTGGATGAGAGAAAGGTGGAGATCGCGAGGGGGGTGGTTACCGCGTGGGGTACGCGAGAGAGAATTCGACTCCGGTGGTGAAATGCGCGCGAGAGGGAGACAGCGCGACCGAGGTGGTTCGAGGGGAGAAGAAGGTTGCCCACCCGACGTGTAGTGAAGTAGCAACAGGCGGCAGCCGTCCTCTCTCTTCTTCGCTAGTACCGGCGAGCGCGGAGCACCACGTTCCTCGTCGGCGGCTGGCGCCGCTGCCGTCGACGCTCTGACGTCACGGCGTCGTGACGTAGGCGTGGTCACGGATGCGCACTAACACCTCGCCTGTCACCGTTGTCATAGTGACTGCTTCGCCGATGCCCGCGTTTCGCTGCCGCCGCTGCGTTCTCCCCGCGCCTCCCGTGCTCACCCCACTACGTGCGCCGAGCAACCATCCACCCCCGTTCTCGCAACCCCCCTCGCTCTCGGTCCGTCTCGTTCTCCCCGCGCGAGTGGCGCTCTTCGCCTACGTCCGATATACGCCGACGGCGTATACAGGCTGCGGGGGTGAAAGCGAGGACGAGCGGGACAGAGAGAATCGCGAAGAGAGAAAGGACGAGGGAGTCGCGAAGGGAGGAAAGATGAGAGAGACGGCGGCACGGGAGCGAAAGGCGGAGGGAAAGGGAACGAATGTACGCGTGTTAGTGTATATACGTGCGTTGTCACGGTAACCGTGCCTCAAAACAAGCCTGCGCGTTTTTCAATTCGAATGCACTCCCTGGGAAGAGATGAGGTTATAATGAAGTCCCTGCCTCTCCCGCCTGCTCGCTCGCCCGCTCGCCCACTCGCCCGTTCGCGTTACCCGCTTGCCCGCTACTTGCCTCTCGTCGCTACGTTGCGTAACGCACGTCGCCGTCATGTCTCACTGCGCCCCCGTCTACTGATATCCGTAGCACTAGTTTCCATTGAAAGCAAGAGAGAGAGAGAAAGAGAGAGAGAGAGAAGAAAAGTGTGCGAATAACGATTTTATTATACGCATCCCTTATTGATAACGCGATTTTACTCTCAGCGATTTTAAACATATTCCGCGGGCACTTTGATCTCATCGACGACAGCGCGGATTCAAATCTGTCTCCAGTTTCTTGCTTCAAAAGGAACCAGCGGGTGATTAGAACCAGATAATTACATTCGGGATTGATTTCATGTTTCTAGAGAAATCAAGCCGAAGCCAGCCGCATGATCAGTCGCGCTAGTTAACGTTAGATCGCGTATTGATTGCGGCAATTTTGTACCGTACCGCAGTTATTATGCATTGAAAGCGTAGCGCATCACGGCTCACGCATTATGAGCATCGACACGATCAAGTTCCGAGTAAAGCGTCTGTCCTACGGCTTGATCCAAACTCAACCATTAGGCATACCGCGGCGTTATATGTATCTGGGACTAATGAGATTTCCATGTACGGTGGATGAATTGCTTTGGATGCATTCGCATACACGACGGACCATTTCTGTATGTCGATAACGTATGCTCCTCTCTCAGCCACGAGGGTTCAGAGACATACCTTATTAATGGACTTATCATCCCTCACGGTACACGCAACTGTGATATCAAAATTACACATGCTAATTATTGCGAGCGTATAAGTAGCTTTGAAAAGGAGGACATTTTTTTTTGATATTTTAAAAGATTAAAAAAGCGTTTTATATACCAAAAAAGATTATTGTTCGACTTTGGCAAATAACATCATTACAACCAAGAAATACTTTAGTATTTGCAGGCATGGTCACGATATCGATCTACCAGTTAATTGCGATATTCCCTCAAAGGAAATTCTCCCCGCAAATGGAAAAACGAAGTAGTTTACGACGACAAAGAAACAGAAAGGTTACAGAATCGATTCCTCCTCCTTCAGGGTTGGAATTTCTCCCCTTGGCATAAATAGGTTCTTAATTATCCTTAATTCGCACCAAATCGAGCTTACAGGCGTGACGAGCAGCGCGATGCACGGTGTCATTAACGAAATAATGGGAATTAATTTTGATTAGTGCTTCGTTTCGGCGAATCAATCGCGCTCTCGGGAAAGCGATTCAATTCCGCCATTATGGATTCCAATGAACAGGCCGCGCACATGCAATAATTTAATTCCGAAACCCAGCCTTTGTGACAATTCGCACGCGTATTCGAAATCAACGCTTCCAGAGACAGCGCGTGCAGGATTTTTCCTAACTTCACAATCGCGTTTGTATTAGGTTAAGAATCATTCTTTAATATTCAGTTACAACAAAGTTAAAGCACACGTACTTATATAATAAAAGCAATTAAAATTATTCAATAAATTTAATATTATAAACATTGTATTTTTGAATGTATTTCTCTCTTTAAAATTTTGTATAAAGAATTAATTCAACAAAAATCAAATAAAACAAACTTAAATTGAATAAATATGTTATTGCAGAAAAGAAAAAATATTATGTTATATATTAGACACACGAATATTACAACACACAAATAAACAATATTGAAAAGTCTAACGGAATGTTATGCAAAATAAAAAAATATATATACATAGCATTAATTTAAGTTTGTTTAATTTTATTTGATTTTTGTTGAACTAATTCTTTATACAAATTTTATATATATATATATATATTATATTTATTATATATATATAGTGACTAGTATATTTGTATTATTAATATTATATAATAAGCATTACTCTGTTGCTATAAATGCACTAGTTACTACACATATATAAATAAAACATTTAATTGCTTCCTTTGAAAAACCGCTTTTGATCCTTTCACATTTTACGCTGGAGAAATTATACCTCGAAAGTATTAGAATACATCCCACTCGCGCCATTCGCTCGAGTGAGTATTTCCTGCGTTAATAGGATCCCATGGCAACAGAGATGAGTATTCCTCGGTATGCTTCCAGCCCACCCTTCACCACCCTTCGAGCCCCCTGCCTCTCTCTTACCCTCGACCTAATTATGTTTATGCCACGTGACCTCCTTCTCTCTGAGGGACGATAGGCGGGACATACCTCGTCGGGCTCGCGCGTCCACAAATTACGTTACAAAGGAACCCTAATTAGTTGCATAATTGTAACATTAGTCGAGCAAGCTCGCAGTAAAAATGTCTATTAAATTAAGGGCTCTAAGATGCGGCTTGCACGCTAGTAACTTTAATATAAAGTGCGTCTGGCTACGCACAACTTACCTCGTTCTGCTGTATTATCCATAGAGCATTCGAGCAATCGGATCAATTCGATTATATGCAATGCGCGTGAATCCGCGCAATAATCGGAAAAAGAACGCGCACGATTACGTTGTCTTTAGAACAACGCATTTAGCAATTTTATTCCGATACATAAAGACACTTTTTTGTCTCTAGTATATTGCATTTTTTCTTTATCGGTTTTCAATATACTCAAAAAAGAAATAGAATTCTATTGTGTCTGATTAAAAAATAACCAAATAAAATATTCAGTTAACTGATTGAAACCATTAAAACCTTAATATAAATTTGCTTTCGAAAGATCTATACGCAAAGATATCTATTCTAATCTCACTCATGTGAAGAGAAAGAGAAAGGAATCGGAGAGAAAGAAAGAGAGAGCAATTACGATGTAACGATCGCCGACTTCGTGCTCGACCGTGTACATTTGCGCGTAATACGAAAACGGAACAGACTCGTTCCGCGGACTACTCGCGGAATAGAGCCCTCGTACTTCTCAAAGCGGTTTCATAACGCAGAAAAAGCAGGAAAATACACGATTGCGCGTACATGAAATTGAGTTTAAAAATGTTTGATGTTGATTGTAGGTAATTCAATCAGAGTGTAGCGAGTAATGAGACGGAAGCGGGGTTAAAATCCAGCTCGCTCGGGCAAACGCTCGCTCGCCCACCGCGCCCTTCGCTTTCCACCGCGCCCCAATCTAGCCATCTCGACCATACCCTTCCGCGCGCGCTCCTGCCGCGTTTCCATCTCCCCCTCGATTCCCGACTTTCCACTCTCAAGTTCGTTCTGTGAATATGAATTAAGTTGATACGATTTGGAGCATCCAGCACGCGGATGCAAGAGTAGGTAAGCAAGAACCATTATATCGAGGCAAATTGTCCGGCGGTGGGTTTGTCTGATACGGATCAGGGTGCAGTGTACCGGAAAGAAGGGGAGTGTAGCTATATAGACTACCAAGCAGTCTATCTCATCGGTGATTGCGATTCGTATAAAAGCGGTTTTATGCGATGCGACTTTTTCCTTTTTTTTTTTTTTTCTTTTTATTTACCTCCCTAGAAACGATCAGAAGTAATCTCTACCATTTTTTTTTTTGATCGCACGAGATTTAGCACGATCGATACAAAGATTGAATTGTCACGCGGCGTTTGTGCTATTCTTTCGCATTTGCGCCGCACGGGAGAGCATTTTTAAATCTAAGTTTCGCACACCCGGCGTCTAATTAAAAACATTTCACGCCCTTCAACGCGAATTTTCCATAGGTATGAAATTATTTTCGCGTTCTCGTCGGCGCACTTTGGCGGGTGGCAAAAAGAGAAACATTGTCGACGGTAGCCGACGTTTCTCACGGTTTTCGTCATGTCACCGGGCATTGTTTTTCGTAACTGAAACTCCGGCGTGGCGGTAACGCCCGTGTGTAGACGGCCTCGTATCCTCGACAGGTGCGAGAGAGCCGCGCGGGCGTCGGGGGACGCGCGATGGAAGCGCGCTGCTGGGAAACAGCCGAGCAATCCTCGCG